ATGCCCATGCCCATGCCCATGCCCATGCCCATGCTCGTCACCACGCCGTGCGTTGACGTCGCGTTCTGGTGCGTCGCCTGCGCCTAGTGGCTTTACGGCACGCCTCCGTTTCCGCATGTTCCATACGATTGCGAGACGGACCAAGCAGTCCACGAAAAGGACAGCCACCAAGATCACGATCCCGATTAGAATCAATACGTCCATGGTATTTGGTGTTGCGCTGCGCTGCTACTTGCACTGGATTGTAAGTCAATCGACACCGACGTTATGCGCAATGCTGAACAGCTTGCTTTCTCCCGCGAGAATGCACAGGATCAGGATGCCGTGCGTATTATATTGCGATTCGCTGCCGTCTCATAACTCTACCGTGCGTCAGGGAAACACTCCGGTAACGGTAGGTTACCCAGTAGGTTACCGACTTCCTTTGGACCAAGCCACCGCCGATGACAGAAGAGGTTCACATGGGACATTTCTTGGAATTGCCCCCTGAAGAGTTAGGTTGTGCCGACGATAAATAGCTATGATTAGTTGGCATACGGCAGTTTGAGGTAGGCAGGGGGGATACGCCTACCAGTGCCAAATTTGGCGGGGGGATATTTCGGATTTTCAGGTTTATGTCAGTTAGTACAGATACCAGAATCACGAGTAGCTAGTGAATAACCTCACTCTTTATTGTAGACCACGTATATGTACACTAAGGAGCCTATCAACATTTCACAGGAGCGAGGCTGCAAAATTTTAACGCGATGTGGCAGACGACACGGCAAGACGTCGAACGAATTAGTCGAAAAGGTCAAGAACTCAAGGTTTACACAGGTCCTTGAACGCGTAATGAGACTTTTTTTTCGCAATCAATCTCAACTTTCAATGTTCTGTTTTAAAGCTTAAAATACGAAATGTCACTATTTTTAACATGTGTCATTTCTGTTCTCTTTTATAGGTACATTACTGCAAAAACGGGACTGGGTCACCATTGAGAGAAACAAATATCGTACCGGCAGGTACCGTAAGTACTATGCCTGAGCAGGCTACGTGCCTCTACCTATGTTTCGAAGACGCTTGAATGGGAACATTGTTTGACGAGACCTATAAGCGCTGAATTGCTTACGTACGTAGACACGTACCGGCTCAAAAACGAACAGTCCATTTATTGTGATGAATGGTACGCATTTATGGCCTACACGTTGTACCAGTTTCTGTGATTCGTATATTTATTGCTCTCTTAATCTGTTCCGAATTACTTCAACCCAAACTAAAATCGAACAATAAACAAGTTGCTGGTCTCATTCCGATCTTCGAGACAACTAGAGATCCGTGCCGTACTCATGCTGTTAAAAGAAAGGAGTAATTGTACCAGTTTCTGTGATTAGTATGTTTATTGCTCTCTTAATCTGAGCCGAATTACTTCAACCCAAACTAAAATTGAACAATAAACAAGTTGCTGGTCTCATTCCGATCTTCGAGACAACTGGAGAACACGTACTCATGCTGTTAAAAGAAAGGAGTCATTGTAATGACTACGAAAGCTTCTTTCTTAGCTGCGTTTCTGCATACTAAGGTGTGTTACAATGTTGACCGAAAGAAAAGGTTGTGAGGCAATGAGGCAATACCACGTAGTAAATCACGAGTGGATAGTGAGTGACAGCAATAAGCTCATCCACTCTTTATTGTGAACACGTAATACGCGTGGATGGCGCATCATGTATTTTACTGCTCATCAGTACTCGTACAAGTAATCATTTGCAAGTTTTCGCGATGTACCGAGAAAAGAACAACTGAGTCTGATATCACTAAACTTTGACGCTTAAAATGCCGATTACTATGTAGAAGTACATGTTATGTTATTCCCGTTTCCTTGTTGGAAATGTTTTGCTTCAAATGTATTCGTCTCGATTCAATTCGATTTTGTCTTGCACTGCTGTTTTGCAAGACTCAGTAGGATGGTTGAGTTCAGTCAAACCAAGTTGTTTCTTCGCCTCGTCTTCGATCCGTAGCATTCGATTCSAACAGTGTTTTCATCGAAAACTATTAATCTAAAAACCAAACTTTTGCCGCTTGCTCATTTGTAAGATTTCCGCATCGCTAATTCCACCAAGGTCCCCAATACCTCCTATTCCGCCGATAGCAGCACCAAGCGAAATACCATTCCCATTGGTGTTTCTAGAATCTTCTCCGATATTACCACCGAGACCGTTGTTGCTACTAAACGCGTCAGTATTTCCTATCGACGAAAGAAGCCGCTTGGGTTCGATGTCGCCAGATGCATTAGAATGTTGCAACATGAGTTGCCGGATCCGAAGGTTATCGGGCACATCGGAATATTGTGCATTTAAGTTAATTCCGTTAATGCTCATACCGGATGAAACTCCCATACCTCCAGCAGACCCACCACCCATCCTACCATTGAGTGCCATGTTGAATCCTCCCATYCCAACACCTCCTCCAACTCCGAGGCGTTCAATTGCTTGTTGTTGGCGCATCATCTTTTGCATCTCAAGCGCGTTCACCTGGCGCCTCGCTAATAAGTCTGCATCGGACAATTTGGTGAGTTTTGTCGCCGAGGCTGAGATTCTAGAAGATTGGAACAAATCACCATCCAAGCCACCTCCATGGCCGCCCATCATATCCTGACGCATAGACATGGGAATTCCCCCTCCAAGAGCTGCAGCTCCAAAAAGGGCGGACGACGATGAGGCTGAGCCGCTTGCCCTCAATCGCTTCATTTCATTAATTTTTACAATTTGACCAATTATTTCTCGAAAGTGACGGTTCTGAAACTTGATGGCGTCATTCGAAAGCCACAGGCGTGCTCGTTCCGCTTCCAAGTTCTTAATTTGGGATCGCTCTCGTTCTCTTGTCCGTTGTGAATTGATGCGGTTGCGGGCCTTTTTGACWTCTTCCCACTCGAGAGATTTGGATGAGGAGGTTGCGGTAGTATTGGATGAATTCATTTTGGTGGTGCCTTTGATTTCCTGAGACACCTTGGCTTTTGTAGTCTTCACTTCAGTAGCGTCGACTGACGAATGTTCAGATCCAGATTCTGTTTGCAACATTTCTGTCTTGTAAAAAGCAGAGATTCAATATGGTTAGTTTTTCGTGTGTTGATTCGAACTTTTTTGTGCTGTTTTGGTCTCAAAAAAAAATTGTTGTACCGGCAGAAAAATGAAGTAAATGTACAACGATGAGAGAACTGCAAAGAACCTCTCATGAGTTCTCGAGAGACAAAAAATTGTGATGAGATCAGAGACCCACATCATAATTACGGTGTGGGGACTAGATTCGCTCGTGTGGGGGGGGTAGGAATGTACCACGTTTTCTATGGTAATCTTATATGTCAGTCAAATCTAGTCCAATCCAAAACACTGGTTTCAAAACCTTAATAAAAAATCATACGTAGAGATTCCTAAGTAAAGCTGGAAGGCAAGAACCATAAACAACTTATTTTAAATGTATTTCAAACGGTTTTACTATTTAATTCTCTCGTCTCCTAAGACCTAAAAAAAGGATTTTTGAAACAAGCAGAGATGGTGGACATTATATAGACATTAGGTCTTTCACGAAATCGCGGATGACTAATGTAGAAAAAATTATATTTAAACCTCAACTTCCAATCAAAAAAGAGAAGACAAATAGTATACCAGTTCGGAAGGCAACGAGGCTATAGTGATACCTGGTGCTTTGAATGATATTTGATAGTACGAACTTATCAATCCACACAAATACGATAGTGTTTGGCTTACGGCTTCGTAAGAGGATTTAACGTCCCCGTACTTGTATGTACCCTACTCTCTACGACAACACTCATTCTTTCTTCGTTTCCAATGAGGCTTCACAGTCCCGTACGATACGAGTACAGTACAAAGTAATTTCGAGCAAGCATAATCTACCCTGCCGTAGCTCACTCACATTAATTAAGTTTGGAAATCAGAGGATGAGGAACAACTACGTACATACTGTATCGTTTAATTTGATAACAAAACCTGTGTGTCATTTTATCAATAGTTGAAGAGTCCATTTTTTCTTACTATTGGTCAAGAGAAGAATTGACTATCTTTTGTGCACGTTAGCCAGTAACCATTATTCGCGAACACTTGCAACGCAAAAATAATATGACCTCATACCTGTAACGTACCGGTAGAAGACATGAACGGCACGAGGAAATGTGTTACTACTTCGTAATTGGGAAAAAAGTGGGCACCCCCAAACCAAACCATACAATTGCACCAGAATGTATTGTTCTTGGATCAACTGGTGGTTACTTCTTTGTACTTCCTCCAGCCCACTATGCGTGCCGAGTTTGCACCTTTATTACTAGTACTGAAATAAGCTCAATATAGTATGGCAATTTCAATGGTTCTTTTTCTTGTTTTTGCCACCACCACTAGTATTTCTTGGACCTCATTTCATACTACTACTAGTACTAGTACTAGTACTACATCACACAAACCGGCGATAGTAGTAGACCAAAACAAAATCCCTTTTGTGTTTTTCTATGCTCCAATACAAATTTCAAGGCCCTTTTCCCTGGAACATGTTCTCACACCCTAATACGTTTCTCAGCATCAATTTCACACTCTTTTCCGGGGTTCATACTGTTTTTTATTGTCATCAGTTTTTTTCTCCTCACAACACCTAGAATAACATTGTGCCAATATGTTTCTTATAATTGCTCAAAGTATCAAAGCCATCAATCTATTGGATTCTCTTGTGCCATTGCCAACATCTTTTCACCCACAAAGAAAGTATGCTGATGTTATCAATTCTGCTCAAATGTTATCAATTCTGCTCAAATGTTTTCCTTTTCTTTTTCTTAGTATTTCTTCTTGTCCCACCATTTCAGAGGGTTGGAGGAGAGTGTGGTTGACTGGGTCTTTTTGTTCAGCATTCTTCAAATATTGCAAGTTTAGCACACTAGTAGGTAGTAGTAGTAGGAAATATCCATAATTTAAAAGCTCCAACAAATAGAATGATTTCATAACATTAATATTAATAACCACCAGCAACAGAAACAGTAGCAACAACAATAGAAGTATCAGCATGATGAGATGCCCAGGAGCACAAAGCTGCTGTTGGTGGTGTTTCCTCAGAGTGTGCTGGTGTTCTTTCTTCTACTACTAGTACTAGTAGCCTTCTTGTTGAATCTTTTTTTGTTGCTGCTGGTGATTGTGGTGGTTCTCTTCTTGTTCATCCTCTACTGTGGTGCTGATGGTTCTTGTTCTTGTTCATCATCATGTATGGTGGTGTTTGAAAATTGAGAAGAAGAGGCCCAAGTTTCTTCATTCTTATTCAAATGCCACTGTTTCTTCTTGTTTGTTGGCTACAGTGCAATGGACCATCAATTTTAACTTTTGCACAGTAGTAGCCAGTAGCTAGTCTTCATTATTCTCACTGGTGCTCTGCTGGTGATTCTCACTGGTGCTCTGCTCAACTTACTGAAAAAATAAAAGAAACTTGTTTTTTGTATAGAATCCATGATTTAAACCTCAGTATCCCATTTTTCAAATAAAATAGTACAAAAAACAGGTTATTAATTTTTAAATAGTAGGAGGCCAGATAGTAGAAACACTCCTTAAAGCAGTCATTTCAAGATTCCCAATACGTAATGTTCAGTCAATGCTGTCATTGGTGGTCATTCTGAGATTTCTTAAAAGAACCAAATTGTTCCCCAACAGACTCAAAAAACACCAGTGATTGTTGTCATCAGTCATTCCAAGGTTTAAGAGAACCAAATTGCTGCTCAGAGTAAAAAATCAGACATTGCCATCATCAGTCATTTCAATTTGTAAGAAAACCAAATTGCTCCCAAGACTACTAAAAAAGTCATTGTCATCATCAGTGATTCCAAAATGAAAGTTATCATTGGTCATTCCAAAATGAAAGAGAACTAAATTGCTCCCTAGTACTATGCAAAAAATAAGTCATTGTTGTCATTGGTCATTCAAAGGGAATCAAAGACCCTCAAGAATAGCACTAGTAGCGCTTGCTAAATGTTCAATCATTATCATTACTGATCATTCCAAAATTTAAGTTAACCTAGTTCCTCCTATGGCAACTTGCAAGATACAGTCATTATTGTAATTGGTCATTCCAAGACCAAAGAGAAGAACTGATCCCTTGCAAGACTTTCTACTAGTGGTAGTTGAACAGCTAGTATGGCCATGACCTGGGCAACAATCATCCCATCCCATAGTGCAAGAACAGTAGTAGTAGTACTAGGGACAACTTTCTTGGCTATGGCTATGATGGGCATGATGCACTGACTGAGACTGACAAAGATGACACAGATGCCTTGTTGGACAAGAAGCTTGAGTTCTTCAACAAGATATCGTATAGGCTTGGCCACGCAAAAAAGCACGGTTTAAACCGTACATTAGCAATTCAATATATACGTAAACGAATATCAGTCAATATTCGTCGTACGCCGTACTCCCCCACGCCATTAGAAAGCTCTTTGAATTCTCTTTTCAACCATGTGCTTATCATACTTAAGCGTCCGCTGGGGAAAAAGTTATGGCTGTTCGCGTGAGTTGAACCTCTCTTAATGCCCTACGTGTTTTTTGTACTGTGCGTGGATTAGCTGCCATCTAATTACTGTGTAATGACTCATGGGATTAAAATTTGACTTGTACTAGGCCTAGAGTGTGCATGTGTGAGCGAAACTATTTTGCACGTGCAAGCAAAACTATTTTGGTGGGACTCAAAAATTCAGCATGTGCCCAGCTGTACACTGCAGTAGAAGCCAATTTTTAATCCCACGAGTCGTTACACAGTAATTAGATGGCCGCTAATCCAAGGTTTAAACCGTACATTGGCTGGCCAAGCCTATACGATACTACCAGTTCCTCTCAAAGTTGGGAATCAGCAATGCAGAACATAGTAGCAGTGCCAATGTCAACACTACTGGGTTCAGCCATTAACCTTGCTTCTAGCAAGCCCCCCCTACTGGCATATACACCAACAACTACCAGGTACTTTGCCAATGAGGATGAGTATTTTTTGATGATACTAAAAGAGAATCCCATTCTCAAGCCATGGTGATATTCAGTCACAGTCCAGGACAAGAACAGTTAGTAATATTACTTCTTGCATGTTTCTTGGCATCATTCTTTCCTCAGCACTGTTACTTCCAAAACAATGATGACAAGCCAAAGTGGAAAATTGAAGAACTGTCATCAAAGACTGCTAAACAAATATCCAGCAAGAATATCAGCAACACTATCAGCAACAGTATCAGCAACACTAACCAGCTATTGAAGCAAGCTCCCAACGCGTCGACGCTATCAGCAACGAATCAACGTTATCAGCATCCTCCGTATCGACGATATCAGCATCCTCCGTATCAGCATCCTCCTCTGTATCAGCATCCTCCTCAGTATCAGTATCCTCCGTATCAGCATCCTCCATATTATCAGCAACACGTATCAGCGTGCCTCCGTATCGACGATATCAGCAACGAATTGACGATATCAGCATCCTCCTCCGTATCAGCATCATCTGTATCAGCGGACACTGTATACTATCCATCCAGCAAGGAAGCCTCACACGCATTGACAATATACAAGCATCGACGATATACAAGCATCAACAATCTCCGATGCCACTCAACAATATAACCAACCAACGTTCAACACAACAACCAGCCTTGTTTGAGTCCCAAGCGTCTGCCTTTGATGCAGCGTTTCAGTTAGAATCAGATGTGGAAACTTTGTTTGAGGATGATGAAAGCTCAAGTGATGAGGAACTTGATGAAACTCGGCCTAATTATGATTCAGAAGCTTCTGGAATGAGTGACAAGGAGGCTGCACAAGCAGAGGTATTCAATGTAATCACTCAGAGTCAACAAACAGCTTGGAATTGGGACAATGCRRTTGAGCCTCAYGATACWGAGTTCTTTTTTTGGAAAGATGGAACCATTGTTGATAACAGTCTTAATTATCCAAAGGTCCCAGTGGGTTATGAAAGGAAGGATCCTAAGGTTGATAAAGGSRAACCTGAGCATTGGAACAATGTTGATAATCCTGGTGGGTGGCATCCTTATTACTACAGACCCAAGTTCGAAGCAGGTACAGGGAAGTACAAAGATCACTTCCTTCCCTCTGAGTGTAAGCCTGTTGAAGTTCCTAAGCACTTATCTGGTCTTGGGAAGGAACCCATCAGGGAGTCAAAAGGATGGGAGTTTCATTACAATGCATGGGATGGAACAACRGWGGATCCTAACAATGATTTCTCAAGGAAGTTTGCTACAAAACACAACATGTTTCCAGATGAGAGGAAGGGAAAGTTGGATATTTACAAGCTTCAGCAGCATGGGCTCACGAAGGTCGTATTGAAAATGGAGATGCGTTCTTTTTCTATCAGTTGCTCCTTCCTATTGCTCCCGACTCAGCAGAAGCTCAGC